TGTATGCGAGATTAGAACGGAGAATAAAGCTCTGTTCTATGGCGCTATCACGTGTCGGGGTACGAGTTACGTACTAGAATTAATTGTTAAGTTATTGTTGGGTAGTGAAAGGGTATGAAAAATAAAAGAGTGGTGTGAGGCCACGACTAAAGTTGTACTTTTATACTATCGTGACTAGTCATCTGTTGGAGTAAGATGATGACCACTGACTATTTTAGACGGTCTTGTGGAACACTGCAAGCTCATTACTTGTAGGTGTTAATGATCATAGTTTTCAGGGAAAAGGAAATGTGTTCATTCCGGTACTCCATCTCCCTCACGGTTGCCTTTATTGACTTTCATTATTGAGGAATCCCCAAAGTAGTAGAGTCTACTTGTTGCTTAAAGTGATCCATATGGTCAGATCTCAAGGAATCGTTGTTATAGGATCAGTGTGTGAGAATCGACGAGCTAGGTAACTAAGGAAAAGGGTATAGTGTCTGATAAATATTTATGTTATGGGATATATTGTTTATTAACAGTTGGTTTTGCAAGATTATTATATGATTTATCACCATTAGAATATTGTGGGATTGAAAAACCTATGTGTCTCTCTAGGTTTTCCCAAACCTGACCCACTCATGCATTATATGTAGCGGTGTAACGACTATTGGAACTTGATTAGGATGTCGAGTGAATAAAGAGACAACCTGAAATAGTATTTAGGACCATTAGGTCTTTATGATGTAACTTATGTTGTTTACTGATTATGACGTTCTTAGGGTTTTTGCAATTTGAAACATCTGTACTCAAGATATTTTAATAAAAAGGGATAGTTTCTACAAACAAAGATAATATGGTTTTGAAAGCATAAAGAAAACTATTTTTTGATTCTGAAAAAAAGGGATGTCACAATTGCAGTTTCATATTCTTATGAATATCGTATATACAAAACATGTGCTCAACAATATGGAATAGTTTTGCAATAGCAGGGATGATGCCCTAAAAATAGGTAGTTATTGTGAGTTAAAGACATGTATAAATTGTTTGCAACTTCATATTATCTTAATTAGAGAAAAAATTGAAATTATAAGAAGCATTAAAGTCTAAATCATCTCTCAAGAACTATCAAAACCAACTCTAAGAACTTCTAGTTTTTTCTTTAATAATAGCATATGCTAATGGGTAGATTTCATTTTTTAAAATCTAAACCTACAACAGCAGGACCTACCCTGGGGAGGGACCTTTCATGAATGCCCTATCAAGACCCATAAAGTCTCTTAACCTATCTTTAAAACCCATCTTCAGAGAACCTAAACAAACATAAATCCTCTTGAATATTATTATTTCTTATGACATATATGATTCATTATACACATTTATTTTCATTATACAAGCTACATTGTAATCCAATAATTCTAAAGTATAAGTTCTATGTAAATAGTATTCCATCTAATAGTCCCCAAACACATGCTTATGGGTGATTTACTTAGCCTTAAAAACTTTCATTCTTGACATTCCCACTTCTTACTTTTAAAAAGATCCTTGTGCAAAGCTCTCACTAATATATTAGGGTTTCATTCTACTTGTTGAATGGTGTTGTTGGCCATAAATTAAGATGTTCAAGCTTTTATGGGTCTTGTCTGGGATAAAGGTTTGATCTTGGACTGGAGTCTTAACCATCCAGTATTCCTCTTCATTTTCATAGATACCAAAAGCACTCATTGACAAGTTGGTTTAGTGAAAATTACAACATTGTCCTTGTATTGTACCCAACTTTTTTTTTCCATGAACCATGCTGACTCATATTTGGGACCACACATATACACCTCACCCTTATTCTACTTCTGTCATTTTTTTTAAACACAAGGCCCTCTTAACGTGAAAGGAGTGTAGATTAATATATTCTTTCACATCTTTTTTGTTTTGAAAGATTTGACATACCTTAAATGTTGGTATGTGAACTACTCCTGATGAGCAAGTGAGTTGTTGGGTAAGTTCTTTCAAAATATTTTTTTTTCTTATCATGTTTATTAATTGATGATTCAAACACTTGTGTATTGATCACTTCTAAATCCTCCTGATCATTGTTAAAACTATCATGGATTAGTATGGTATTTGGGTTTCTGGGTAGCCACTCAGCTTTTCGGTCAACTATACTTAAGAACTTCCTCATGTAAACCTCCATATCATCCACTATGTTTTGCTTATCAACTATAAATTCATTGTCATCCTCATTACTCCTATAATCTTCACCGCTCTTGTCCCTATTGTCCTATTCCTATGTATCTTTATCATCCATACTTGCTTAACCAACATATTAAGAGTCCATGTTGCATGCAAACCGGTAATCATCTTTTCCCATACCAAAAAATGGATCAAAATAATCTAAGTCTTCAAGATTTGGAATATTTTGGGTTGTCTTCTTTTTCATTATAGCATCAATTCCATTATTATTAGCAATCAATCTATCTCCTAGATCTTCTTTCTCATGCACATTCTCATATGTGTTTTCTTTATTTTTCGTATGACCTTGTTGGATACTATCAACTACACTAGCTTGTGTTGGTTGGTATTCCCTATAGCATATCCAAAGGGTACAATGGACAATAACTTGTTGTTCCCTTAATCACTATTAACTATCATTGATTTGGTGTTATTATTAACTACATTATAATACCATTAACATCTACATCCAATTTCCTACTACATGAACCAAATTCCGTTCTACCAACCTTATTTCTATTTAAATCTGGTGATACACAATTTTCAACGTCTTCAATTCATGGACTTAGCTGGTCTTTCATGCTCAGTATATGTTCTAATTTATGTATTATTAGAAATATACCTAGCCAAGTGATGCACATCCTTGCATTTCCAAGAAGTAACCCAAAATTCAATCAATATCAAGATTAAGGAAATTGTAGTAGATAGTCCCGCCATTGACATATCCAAATTCGTGAAGCGTGTCATCCAATTCATGCATTGAGAAAACATCCATGTCCATGTACTCGATGTAGTCGACTTTGCTATCTACAAAATGTTTGTGAGTCTGTCTAGATACATGCTAAAAATATCACCATGATAAACCTTGAACATGTAAAAATTGTCTAACCCACTTGAAAAAAAATCAAAAAATCAAAAAAATCATTATCAAAAGGAAAATGTTTTAAGAGGAGATGAAAAGAATAAAACTGAGAATGATATCTAATAAATAGGAATATTATTGCAATATAATTTCTTGAATAAAAATTTAAACTTCTAATTATTATAAAAGTTTTTGACTCATGTTTTAAAAACTTTTTAGTCGTAATATTTAAATTTTACCCAAACGGATTGATATAGAATTTATTTTGTTCTCCAACTTGGTTCAAGACTACCTTATTCATCCCGACTCACTCATTTTGTCGTCTTTAACTCTTAACTAAAAATACATAAAATCTGGCAAAATAAACGGACATAACATTGTAGTTACTTTTTTTTTTGAATGGCGAACTTTTAAAAAAGAATTAATTATTTTCATATATTCAGATATTATATTTGTTTTTATTCTATTTAGTTTTTCAAATATTATTTATAAAATTTCGCAACTTAATCAATAGATTTCCATTACAGACACGATATCTAACCTAAGCCATCAATAACAGTTGAAATAATCAAAGTTTTCTCAACAATAGTATTTCGCATAGTTTTAATTAAATGTTTATTTCAGTTTGATTAAAATGAACAAAGATCATGTAAGTAACATAAGGGAAATTCTGTACTTGTAGCCCCCAATTGCATTGTCTACCTTCCCATTGCGAGTGTAATAATGTTTGTGTACCCCAATGTGAGTGCATTACGATTATTAGAACAAACTTGCGAGTGTAATAATGTTTGTGTATCCCAATGTGAGTGCATTACAATTATTAGAACAAACGTATATTTTATTTATTTCAGAGTCAACAAACAAACATATCGGGTCTACTTGATATTGTTTTTTTGTTACATGTGTTGGTATTATTAACAGTCATTTTTATTATTTAATTATCATTGGTATATAACTACATATTAATACAATTATTTACTCGATAAAAAGTAATAACTAATTACAAGGTAGAAGAAATGGAAGTATGAATGGGTGGAACGGAGTTGCCTCAAAAGTTGACCTTAACAAATAACAATAGTTTATTTTATATATAATTTAATAAAGTATATTAGAATCAAATCAAATATATGGAATATTTCATAAATTTTTTACATAATTTTCAACTAATATCAAAGTTATGATTTAATGTAGTGAACAGAAGGAAACACAAAGCTGAATAACGAATGAAATCTGCCAAAAATTTTGTTAATTACTTATTTATATAGTGTAAACTGTAAAATAAGACTTTTGTATTTGAATATTTAATAAAGTACTTTTTTTATTTTCTTAAATTAAAAATAATAATAATTATGAAATGAATGATTGATTTTGGGTGTCCTTGTGTGCATGCCTGATGATCATATCATATGGATGCTTTTGTATACATGTGATCACTTTGGATATTTTTGGCCCATACACTTTTTGTCATTTTCAACATCTATATTTTCTTTTCTTTTTTTATGACAAAACTTCAAAAATGTCCCTGTGGTTTTCGAAAATATCAAGTTTAGCCCATAAGTTTAAAAAACCTCAGGGATCGTCCCTGTGGTTTCAAAACTTTTAACAAATGGTCATTTTCTTTAACTCCGTTAGCTTTTGGCCGTTAAGTGAAGGGCATTTAGGTCATTTCACTACTACAGGGACAATTTATGAAGTTTTGTCTTATTTAAAATATATATATATATATATATATATATATATATATATATATATATATATATATATATATATATATTTATTTAATATAAAGGGGGCCCACCCACCCACCCATCTCTCTCTCTCTCTCTCTCTCTCTCTCTCTCTCTCTTCTCAACAAGAAACCACCATAACCCACCACCCAAAACCACCCTTATACCTCCCTCTTCTGATCAAAAATGTGACCCCAAACACCACCTCACATCTCCCTCTCATCTGTTTCTGCCCAGAAAAAGGAAGGAAGAGGTGGCATCCACCTTGCTGCCACCAAACTGCCACCACCCCACCCTTCACTGCTACCACCGGAGATCACATCCCCAACCCTTTGTTGCTGCTGTTTTCGATCACCACAGCTCTCTCCCTCATCCCATTTGTTTTCACTAGCAATTTTAAGCAAGAAAGAAGAAGCAGAAGGCCGCCGAAGCAGCCTCCTACTGCCCAACGCCACCTCCTATGTACATTTAGTTTAATCATGCAACAATAAAATAAAATAAAATGGATCAAGCATATACAGCTGCGATTAGCATCAACGGGTACAATAAGTAGACCATGGAATTTCCTAAGCTTTGGGAATCACTTGTACCTGAAACACACATGAAGATTATAAGTTTGCTGAAGAGAAACAAGAAAGATATAAAAAGGACGGGGAATGTATGATCGATCCGATCGTGATACCTGGAGTAGTCTTAGAGGTGGAGGTGATGCATGAGATCGGGTTGACACGTTGACCACATCTTGCTGGTAATTCTTGGGCCTTAGTGACATTGATACCAGCATTCTCAACATTTTTAGTACCTTGATTGCTTATCATACTACACAAGCACTCTGGATTGGATTTTATCACTGATTTCAATGGATCACAACAGCTATCAGGGGGGATCCTGTCCCTGCCCACCCCTAAGCTACTTAGTGACCTTCTCCACACTCCCTTCATTGAATACAGTCGAAGGAAGCAATAACAGGGCATCAGAAGACCACCGGAGTAGCCTCCTGCCACCCCCATCGCTGTTCCAAATCACCGCCATCACCACCTGTGCGGCTGCTCCTACTCCACCACCATAAGTCCTCCTAAACCCTTCGTAAATAATAAACTCCAGTCGAGTTCCACATTCAAAGGCACGAAAATCGGTTTCTTTTTTTTTTCTCTGGTGCGATAACCTGAGAACGAAGAAGACGCAGGAGGATGTTTACCTCCTGCATAATCAAACTTGAATACAGAACGAGAGGGAAATCATCGACTCAAACTTTTGGTTTTTAAGCAAAATTACCTTCTCTCAGCACCAAAATCAACCAATTAATTTAATTTGTTCGAGTCCGATTATCATTGATCATTCAATATAATCCCGAATTTGGTCGGCCGGTGAGATACGAACGAAAGGGAAATAACAGTGGGTGGATATTTGGTTTCCTTGTGATGTTCGTGAGACAGAAAAGAAAACGAGAGAGAGAGAGAGAGAGAGAGAAAGAGAGAGACCTTTAATATTAAATATATATTTTTTTATAAATAAGGCAAAACTTCATAAATAGTCCATGTGGTAGTGAAAAGACATAAATGCCCTTTGCTTAACGGCCAAAATTTAACGGAGTGAGCCGGAATGACCAAATGTTAAAAGTTTTGAAACCACAGGGACGATCCGTAAGGTTTTTTGAACTTAGGGACTAAACTTGATATTTTCGGAAACCACAGGGACCATTTTTGAAGTTGTCTTTTTTTATTAATCTTTCATCGATATTTTGATATAGCATCTCAACCAGAGGTTCTTTTTATTTTTAGAGGTTACTAGTATTAAAACCAAAATAAGATTGTTTATAAAATAAAAAAAAATCACCTCTTTGAAATTTTATTTTATTTGTATATAAATGACCATTTACTTGGTAAGAAACCTTTGCAAATTTCCTTTTTTTTGTGAAGTTAGAATAGTCGTCATCATTTATAAAAAAACATAAATAAATCTTATATTATTAATTGTTCATATTGTGATGAAATACATAAGTTTTTTTTTTTTTTTTTTTTTTTGTGAAAACCATCTAGATAACAGCAAAAACAATTTTGTAGTATGCTCATTGCCAAAATAAATGATCATTTATGTGAAGAGAAAAAAGAACTATTTTAGTAAATATATTTTAACTTTTATTTTTATTTTTTTAATTTCTATCGGATCAAGCTACAAATTTGGTCAATGTGGTTTATAAAAATCTACATATAAGATTAAAAAAAAAAAAAAAAAAAAAAAAAAAAAAAAAAAAAACAACTTGCACCACTCTTTTAAAAGCGAAAATATTTTGTGGTTTTAGTCCCTTTAAAAATTAAAAAGTATGTTTTACCCGTTTAATTTTCCTTTTATATAATTTTAGTATTTGAATAATATATTTAAATAATTAATAAAAAAAAAGAAATGGGTACATTTCTTTATCTATCTCTTTCTCTCTCTCTTTCTCTCACACACACATACATATACACGGTCTTGAAGAATCTGATAATCAAAATCTAAACCTCTTTAGTTCTTCTTTCCAACTATAGTGCTTCCTAAATACACATACAAACACAAACAAAAACACAATTTAATTTTTCCATCTCTTTTTAGAAACAATTATCAATCATGTATCATTTCTTTAACTTCTTCATCAATATTCCATTCCAGTTCTTGCTAGTCATCATTTTCTTCACTCGGTTTAAGACACCAAATTACTTGAAAAGGTTGTCGGTGGTTTTGAGTTCATTGATCTGGTGAAACCATACGCAGTACATGTGACAATTGGTCAACTGCAACCGTCATTGCAAAGAGATTGGAATTGAATATGTGTTTACTGAGATTGATCATTTCGATAGCGCGGATTGAATTAAGGACTTGTATGTAATTTTATTTTAATATCAATTAATAATGAAATAAAGGAAATTTTTTGAAGCTACAATCACACTCGATCTTTATTTTCCATTTTGGTTTTGATTGAAGCTCGGGTCCTTTAGGGTTGTGGAGGGTAACAAAATATATGGTATGGAATGAGAAGGGTATATGAAAATCAATATTCTCATCTCCAAGTAAATGAATCTTAAAACAAATGAAGAACATTTACTTGAAGATGCATGAGAACAATGATAACTTTGTAGTTATTGATTCTATTTTATGATTCTTTTTCACTTCTTATAATAGTGTCTAATTAATCAATCTGATAAATAGATAGGACACACAAGACTATGGTGTTTATATATAGGTATAATTAGTATAATATATATATATATATATATATATATATATATATATATATATATATATATATATATATATATATATATACTTTCTCAACTTCAGACTTTGGCTACATAGCTTTTAATGGTTGGCAATTTTGGTCCTTCTCAGTAGACGTGTTTTCCTCTCTTGCTCGTTTTATGCTCCAATGAAAGCCTTATAGATATACAAATAACCACAAAAAATCGACAACCCAAGAGTGGCAGTTTCGGGTGTCGATCATCTGCCTAACCAGTGAGCTACATATGAATGTAGATTCATCAGTTCATCTCGATTCGATTAAGGCTGTTCGACGACCAATCTTCCGGTCTTCTGACAAGCCCTTTCTCGTTCATCAGATCTTCAATAAGCGACACCTCCTTCCACTTTCTCCGATCTCTCCAGGACTCTCATACCTTCTCTCAAACTTGGATTCAATCGTCACTGTATTGTGCTTCTATGGCTGAGATGCAACCGAGATTGAAGATGAGAAACAATTAAAGTACACATGGATTTCGTCCTATTAGGATTTAAGTAACATAAAACCTGTTCTAACCCTATATTTTCGCCCTATTTCTGGCATCCCCGCCACATGTAGCACCAATTACGACACGGAGGTTTTTTTCTTTACTATTTGTTTTTTTTTTCAGAATCTATCTATGTATATGTTTGTATGAGGCATCGATAAAAACTGGTGGAGAATGATTTTTCTGAGTTATCATTTAGTTTTCATGTATGGTTCAACTAATATTTTATTTTATTTTATTTTACTTTTCTGTAAAACCAAGCAATACATCAGGTTCAATCGGGAGAGGAAGATATTCATCGAGATAATCTAATAAAATTGATGAACCACTTAAAGTAGAAGAAGTTGAAACTGTAAATATTCCACCTACTTATGCGGAGAAGGTAATAAATAATTTTAACTAGTTTGATGCTCAATTTTCTTCTTAAAACTTTCATCGTTTTAGACATATCTTTCTATAGTATAAAGTTTGTGTGTTATTCTTAATTTACCATCTCTTTCTGTAATCAATTGCATATGCTTAGTGGAAATGGGTTTGTTGGCTCACATATTTGCAAAGAAGCATTACATCGTTGCTTATCTACGGGCAACCTTAGCAGGTTTATGTTTATTACTTGTAACTAATGTTTTCATCATATCCACTTTAGTTGCAATAATACCAATGATCCCAAATGACAACACTATATAATGTATGATTGCAATTTTTCCTCCTATCTTATGCCTTTTTATCACATTAGATTTTAAGTTCCAAAGATTGGTTGTTCGATCATAAAGAGTTATGCTAGAAATCATTAATTTTGAAATGATACTATCATTGCTCTTGCAAATGGTTGCTATTTATTACTCAAAACCACAGATGATCTTAACAAGAACCAATGTGTAACACCCGTTCCGAGAAAGGTTCGTTTTTAACCCTAACATATTAAAGATTTTCATTCTCGGTCTGTACGTCGTGCTTACTCGGGGTGTACGCATAGCATACTCATGCATGAGATGAGCACGTCTCGCATGCGTACGTCGGACTTACTCAACAGGTATGTCACGCGTATGCTGTTCAGACCAAAACCCTAGTTTTGAGGATTTTGCACCTATATAACCTCCTTATGGCCCCTATGCCTTCACCCTTATCAAACTCCACCTAAAATTCGTCACTCTAGCTAACCCTAAGTGTGAAGAGTGCATATTTGAGCCCATTTGTGTGATTTGGTAGTATTCTTGAAGAAGAAGAGGAAGAAGGTGGTATAAGGACATTGGAGCTTGGAAGAAGCTTAGATATGAGATTCTCACCTTGCTAGCAGCCTTCTGGAGGTAAAAAGCTCCTAGCTTGATCATCTTTTCTTATGGATCTAGTTATCTTTTTATTAGGGTATTTTTGGTCCCAACCTCTGTGATTCTTGAGCCTGGCATGCTCTTAACCAAATAAGTTGTCCTTTCAGACCCAATGAGGGGTCTTAATTCACAAAAATGAGGTCTTGATGCTTAGTTCTTCCCCATGCATGCTCTAGAATGGTCTTTAGGTGTTAAGAAGTTAAGTTTGTTGGTAATAAGCACTTAATGGGCATGCAAAGTCATAAAGTTGGATACTTTATGACTCTCAGTGGTATTTTGAGTACTTTGTCGCGCACGCCGTGCGTACGGGGTCAACCGCCTGATACCGGTCAAGGCTTGTATACGCCTAACATAGGAGGTGAGTACGCCCCACATACTCAGCTTAGTGGACCGAGTTGACTCGTTGACCTTGACCTTTGACCAGAGTTTTGACCAAGTTGGACTTAGGGGTATTTTAGGTATTTTTAGCTGCTAATTGAGATTAGGTCCTTGGTTTTGGTTAGTTGATCGTTGAGCCGATTTTTCAGAACAGAGAATTATTCCTCTTGCATTCCGACTGAGAGGTGAGTTTTCCTCACTGTACTTGCAGGTTGAAGGAACCAATGCCGACCCAGCAGATTATGTATCCTGTTATGGGATGTTGCTAAGATGTGGTGATCTGTTAAGATATGCATGTTTATCTGGTTGCCGGTATATGTTTATCTGTTATGCTTATGTCGACATAGTATGGTTGGGTTGAGGTTGTACTGCTTTGTGCGATAGCCAACAAACCCGAGAGCAATCCATACATGAGCTGTGGGCCTCGAGGGCAAGTCAGAGTCATGTTGTGGGCTCAAGAGCAATCCAGATATGAGCTGAGGGCCGGATAGGCATGCCAGACTCGTACTGTTGGCTCAAGGGTAATCCAGTCTTTTAACTGTG